AACTCTCTATCCCTTTCTCTTCCTCTATGTAAAAAATCAATAAAATATATTAAAAAAATTTTTTTTGAGAGCACAAAACAGATTTTAAACTTTTTTCCCCTAAAGTGTAATTCTTTTGAAATTACACAATTCTTTTACTTTGGAGGAGGGGGACGGAAGGGGGAGAAAGTGGGGAATGGGGAGGGGGAAGAGGGGGAGAGGAAGGGGAGGAGGAGGAGGAGGAGAAGGTGTCCACTGGTTGTTTTCTTCTCTGAAACTCTTCATAGACTCCAGGCTGTCAGTAACCCCTTTGTTGTTATTTTCCTTGTCTGTTACTCATCGGTCCCAGTACATGCGTGGGACCTAACTAGATACAGTAATTAGGTCAACAGGGTTTTTAAAAAGTCAAGAAGGGTCTTTGACTACTAGATAAGTTCCTAAAATATTTATTTTCTTTTATTTTTATCGAATTTATTGGGGTGACACTGGCTAACAAAATTATACAGGTTTCAGTTGCACAATTCCACAGCACATCATCTGTACACTTGGGGTTCACCACTCCAAGTCAAGTCTTCATCATCACCATTTATCCTGCCTTTCCCCTCTTTTACCCCTCCCTCCCCGGCAATCACCACAGTGTTGTCCATGTCCATGAGTTTTTTCTTAAAAATAAATTTAAGGGGAAGACAACTAGTTGTAATTCAAGAAAGATACAGAATTGTCCCAGAGGTGAGATTATGATCTAGAAGCTATTAGAGATGCCCATATCTGCTATAATTTGCCATTATGTCTGCTTTAAAGGTGTGCTGAGGATTTTTTTTGTTTTTTGTTACACCATATTCTGTTGGTTCAGCTCACCTACATTTATTTGATCTCATCTATTTTCTTTCTTTTTAAAAAAAAATATTTTATTGATTTTTTACAGAGAGGGAGATAGATAAGAGAGCTAGAAACATCGATGAGAGAGAAACATCGACCAGCTGCCTCTTGCAAACCCCCTACTGGAGATGTGCCCACAACCAAAGTACATGGACTTGACCGAAATCGAACCTGGGACCTTTCAGTCCGCAGACCGACTCTCTACCGCTGAGCCAAACCGGTTTTGGCTGATCTCATCTATTTTCTGTTAGTTTTATTAGTCTAACTCAATTCAGGAGGTGACTCAATCTTTCTTCCATCTATAGAGCTGGCCAGTGTAGAGATGACAACTGTAGCAAAAGAAAAAGATAGAAAAACGCAACTGGAAAACCTGGATGAATTAGAAAAACTGGTTCATAGAGCGACACTCAACCACTGAGTGGCATCAGCCGGGCTGAACTTCATTCCTCTTTATGAGAAATCTGATCCCCAGGTCTCTTTAGGGATATTTGTTTAATTCTGAGTTGGATTAAACCTGTGTGGCAAGTGGCAAAGTTATGGTGAAAGCAGATAGGCCATTTTATAATGCTCCACAGCTATGCATGGGGGTCACAGAGCCAGGTGTGAAACTTTCTAACTGAACTTTGAGTGACTCTGTCCCTCTTGGTCACAGATGTCCCCTGATGGGGGTGTTATAACTGCTATAAGTCAATAGCCCCTTTCCTCTGGAGGGAGGGGTGCTTGTATATTCTGCTGTCCAATACTTTAAAAAAAACACACACATTTTATTGACTTTTTACAGAGAGGAAGGGAGAGGGATAGAGAGTTAGAAACATCAATGAGAGAGAAACATCTATCAGCTGTCTCTTGCACACCCCCTACTGGGGATGTGCCCACAACCAAGTACATGCCCTTGACTGGGATTGAACCTGGGACGCTTCCATCCACAGGCCAATGCTCTATCCACTGAGCCAAACTGGTTAGGGTTGTCCAATACTTTTTATTGGTAGGCCCATGTGCCCTAAAGAGGTAAGGGAAGGACAAGGAGTAGGAATTGAAGCAGGAGCTAACAGAGCCCGATGGATTATAACCCTGAGTCAGCCATAACTATTTGCCTCAGAGGGAGACACGGAGAGGCCCAGCTGTGTGGAGAGGGGAGGGCCTCCACGGACACAGCTGCCTGGGAGTGGGAGCTGGCAGTTTAAGATGGGCACGAAGGGACACTTTTCAGAGGATGAAAGGAATTGCCACTCTGTCCCCAAACACCTCTTAAGGTCAAAGATTCTTAGGCTCCTACTAATCATATGTGATAAGATTCTGTTCTGAGTCTTCTCTGGGAAAACTGATCTCTGGAGTGTCTATTCCACAGTGGAGAACTCTCACCAGGTAACTGCGAGGCAGTTGGGGGTGGGGTCAGATGGGAAGTAACCACCTGCCCTTCCGCCCAGTCTCCCTGCTGTTGGAGGGACCTCCCAGGGAGTGGCACTGTTCAGCAGGCTCCAGGGTTGGCAGCCACATGCTGTCTCTAGTTCATAGACAGAAAACTGAGGTACAGAGAGGTTACGGGATGATGACGTAGCTTCTACCGGGCAGAAATAGAAAAAAAAAAAAATCCTGGCCCCTTGATGCCTGTGTCTGTTTCTTCCAAAAGTCAACTTCCATGGTGGCAGGGCGGGGAGAGAGAGGGAAGCAGGACACTGCTTCACCCAAGGAGGTGCACTCACCCACACACACGTCACCCAGCAGAGAGGAGACCAGCAACCGTCACCACTGCAGTTGCGTCTCCACAGCACCGGCAGTTGGCTCTCAGAGCAGCTTTTCTCTTCCGGATTAGGTCCGAGTTGAGAGACATGCTATCCTTCATCCTGGTAAGGACCAAGCTGCTCGCAGGCTCGGACTTGATGTTTTCTTAAAATTGGCCTTCAGGAGCAACACGGAGGGGCAATCGTGTAGCCGGTTGGGGCCCGTGATGCCCTGTCTGCTTCTCTCACCATAGAAGAAGGTGTGGAACAGTGTTGGTGGCAAGGGGAAGATTTAAGCAGTAGCCAGAAGGTCACGTCTGTGAGATAGATATCCCTGCTTTGTTTGTTGCCTGAGATGTTCTTTCATTGAAAGTTGATCACTTTGGTTGAACCGGGAAAATATAATTTGATAATTACTCCCCAGGGTAATTATCAAACAATCAGACCTTAGAATCAATTTAATCTGTAGACCCCTCTGCTCTAGAAAGGGCACCAGGAAACGGGCACATTGTCCCGGGGGAGGGATGGTTTGAGGGAGGCTTCACTTTGGAGTGAATATCTTCAAAGGGAACCAGTGGCAACCAGAGGACAGCCAGCACAGAGGAGTGAGGAGAGAGCTGGTTGTGGGGAAGATGGAAGGAAGGCAGTTTTTCTGGGGACCTTTATGGGGTCCTCCGATGAAGTCCTGTCTAGATCCCTGCCAGGTCAACTTGGTTTCTCCCGCCTACCTTAGCCTCCTACGGCATGAAGCATCACTTTGGAGTAGATGAACCATCTTGGTGACCACAGACTTGCTCCCTCTGCCCTGGGCATGGATTGGTGCTGGAACAATGGCTCCGAGTGTGAAATAAGTATGTACACCTGAGGCTTTTCCCTGACCAACCGCTATGCTTGAGGGTTACTGGTGGTGGGCATGAAGGACAGGAGACCTTAGAGAACCCTCTTGTTCCCTTCGTCTCTACATCCCTCCCAGGGATGCAGCCTGGCCCGGGGCTGGATTTTGGGGCCCTGGCTGTTTGGACTCTCACTTTGTAAGAGACTCTCCCTAGTGCCACTTGGATGGGCCAGCTGGTGCCGGGGAGCTGAGCCTCCTAAAGGCAGGTCCGTGGGCAAGCATCCTCTGGCTCCCAGCGGGGCTGGGCACTGAGGCTGGAGAGGAAGGGAAAGAAAGGGCCTTCTTTGCTTCAGGGAAGAAAACTACCCCCAGGCCTGAAGCCTCAGTTCCCAGGAGAAGGCTTTGGGCCTTGCTTGCTTTCTCTGATGGGACTCAGAGCAGAGTTCCCGACAATGTCAGAACCCAGGGCCACCGCGACACAAAAGAAAGGACCCTGAGAACTCTGGGTATCTCTTGGGCTGATGATTTCTTTTCTTTATTTTTTTTAAAATATATATATTTTAAATTGATTTCAGAGAGGAAGGGAGGGAGAGATAGAAACATCAACGGGGAGAGAGAATCATGGATGGGCCGCCTCCTGCACACTCCACTCCTGGGATCCTGCCTGCAACCCAGGCATGTGGCCTGATCGGGAATCGAACTGTGACCTCCTGGTTCATCGGTTGACGTCAACCTAAGATCCCGAGGGCTGGGATCTTAGACTGATGATTTCAACTGAATACTCAAAAATGGCGCAAAGGGGTTCGGAAGCCACAGAAACAAGTTGAAACCATAAAAAGAAATAAAAAATAAAAAATGAAAAACAGGACCAACGGCACCGGAAAGCTGCGTTCCCTCGTGTATGCTGATCTTGCAGATCGGTGCCCCGCCATTTGGCTGACACACGACCGGTCTGGTCCACACGGGCATATTTAAAATTTAGTGGGCAACATAAAAAATATTGGAAATTTCACTTCAATGTTTGCGTTTCTGGCTTCTCTTGAAAAACCGGGAACTGCCTCCTGGAAGCCAGTGCGTGGACGGGCGGGCAGCTGCCTTCTGCTCCCCAGGGTTCACAGTCCTGGCTTCCGGGGCATGAGAACAGGCCCACCTCCCCAGCCCACCGCCTGCCTGTGTCCTGAAGGGGCTGCCGTTGGCACCCCGGATATAGGGACACATGGTGTCTGCCAGGGAAGGGCTGGGTGACAAAGTCCGACCCCGTGAGCTTAAGACCACGCTAGTCAAAAGGTCTGAGGCAATCGCAAGTGTGATCAGAAGGCTTTCTGTGGAGAACTGGGGACCAAGGCAGAGCCCAGAGGGCAGGGCAGCAGCAGGAGCCTGGGGCTGGGGACTGGGGACTGGGGAGGGACAGTAGGTTTATCTGGGCAGCCCTTACCTATGGGACAGACAGTTCACTGACAGTGCAGCGGGCACTGTCCCCCCAGACCTGGGTGCAGGGAGGGCAGAAGACAGCTCCTGGGGGCATTTTTCCTGGCACCTGGGCCCACAGGCCAGCTCACTGCTTTCTTTCTTCCTTGGGCGCCACCTCATATGGTTAGGTCATCGGACCGGGCGCGGCTGCTGGCTCTGCTCGCTCTGCTGGCCCTGCTCAGAGGCCTAGGGTCGTCCCCAGCCGGCTCTGGCCCCGGGGAAGGTGCCTTCTGGGCTGGCAGCAGCCTTGGTTTGGCTGCCACCTTCTCAGCCGGCAGCAGCTCCTCTTCCTCCCCGGGCCTCCCCACCCTGCAGGCTCCATCGTCCTCTCCCCGGGGCCCCGCCAGGGTCTCCGGCCCGTCGGTGCCCACCCTCTCCGCTCCCTGCCTCTCGGGGTCTGCGGCTTCCTCTCCCGGGGGCTCGTCCCCCTCGCACCCCGGGGCTCCCACCTGCGCGTAGGAGGGCAGTGCCTCCCGGATCGCCCCGGGCAGCGCCCCGGGGGGCCCCGCGCCCCGCCGCTCCTCCATCGGGCGGAAGGGCTGGGCGGCCCGCGGGCCGGGCTCCCCCAGGCCCACCTCGGCCAGAGGGAAATAGTGCGACACGATCTTCTCCTCCTCCAGGAGCCGGTAGCCCTGGGCCGCCTGCACGGCGGAGGCCACGGCGACGGAGCGCAGCGGCGGCGGCTCGGGCCGAGCCCCCGGGGGCCGGCGCAGGGCCAGGGCGCCGCGCACCCGCTTCAGGCCCAGGTGGCTCACCTCCAGCACGTTGAGCACCAGAGACACGGCGGCCACGCACAGCATGAACACGACGAAGACGGTCTTCTCCGTGGGCCGCGACACGAAGCAGTCCACCACGTTGGGGCAGGGCCAGCGGCTGCAGCGGTAGAGCGGCGGGATGCGGAAGCCGTACAGCAGGTAGTGGCCGGCCACGAAGCCCGCCTCGAACAGGCTCTTGCACACGATGTGGCCCACGTAGGTGCGCAGCAGGGCGCCCTCCAGCCGCAGCCGCCGCGCCCCATGCTGGCCGCCGCCGCCCTGCCCGGCGCCCTGCTCCGCGCCCGCCTCCCGCGCCCCCTGCGCCCCCTGCGCCCCCCGCGCCGCGCGCTTCTCCTCCGCGCGCGCCCGGTGCACCGCGTGGCCCACGTACACGAGCGACGGCGCGGACACGAAGATGATCTGCAGCACCCACAGGCGCACGTGCGAGATGGGGAAGGCCGCGTCGTAGCACACGTTCTCGCAGCCCGGCTGCTGCGTGTTGCACACGAAGTCGGCCTGCTCGTCGCCCCACACCAGCTCGGCCGCCGTGCCCAGGATGAGGATGCGGAAGATGAAGAGCACCGTGAGCCACACGCGGCCCACCACCGTGGAGTGCTCGCTCACCTCCTCCAGGATGTTCCCCAGGAAGCTCCAGTCGCCCATCGCTCACCGCCTGCGAGAGGGGGAGGCAAGAGTGAGTGCGGGGTACAAACCTGCACCCCTGGACCCTCTGCTCAGCTGCAGCATCCCCGTAGGAACAGCGTCTATTAGAGCTTCCTCCGTGCAGAGCAGGGCCCGGCGACCAAGGGGCCTCAGAGAATCTTCTTCTAACAGCTCCCGTATCTGTAAATTGGTGTGTTTTTCTTTTAAATTTTTATGTTAAAACAGTTAAAAATATATTTTATTGATTTCTTACAGAGAGGAAGGGAGAGACTTAGAAACAGTTATGAGAGAGCAATATCGATATAGCTGCCTCCTGCACACTCCCTACTGGGGATGTGCCGGCAACCAAGGTACATGCCCTTGACCAGAATCGAACCCGGGACCTTTCAGACAAAACAAAACAAAACAAACAAATGGGAAAGATCACAATCAGGCAAGCAGCCCCAGTATAAATCCTATTGGTGGTAGAGCAAAAATAAATAAATAAATAAATAAATACATACATAAATTAAATAAATAACACCAGAATTTCTCACCAAATGATCGATTCTAACACGCATGTTAAAACTACACCTGCATTTGACTCTTATAAGATGGTGTCTGGCATTGATGTATTCTGCTAGCGAATCTAGCATTGCTAATGTTTCATCCCCATGGATACAGCCACGCAGTGTTGGAATCTCACTTACGTTGCACCATGTCAGTCCTGTGGGAAGTCTCGGGTGCCCACATGAGAGTAAGCGGCAAGCACCTGCCCTCGGGACTGTGGGTGAACAGTCTCGTTCCCCCCCTTTGAGATCAAAGTTCCGCAAGGGCAGGTACCACGTTGCCTTCATCTTCCCTGAACCCTCGTGACACAGAACTAAAACCATCACAGAGTGGGAGCTCCACAGACAGCAGTGGCGGGACCCACAGTGATGACCGGGAATCTGGAATTCCCAGCACGTGTCATATCGGTATTCCTTAGCGTCCAGGGGACTTAAGCCTCCGTTGCTGCAAGGAGCAGTGGGACGTGGCAAACAATTGATCCCAAAGTTGCTGTTTGGAGACAGCGTTTTGGGTAAAATCAAACATGAGCATCATGACACATGTTCAGACACATGAAGACCTCCTGACCAGCCAACTGGTAATTTATTTCTTTTTTATTTTATTTTATTGATTTTTTACAGAGAGGAAGGGAGAGAGATAGAGAGCTAGAAACATCTATGCGAGAGAAACATCAACCAGCTGCCTCCTGCATACTTCCTACTGGGGATGTGCCTGCAACCGATGTACATGCCCTTGACTGGAATTGAACCTGGGACCTTCAGTCCACAGACCGACGCTCTACCCACTGAGCCAAACCGGTTTCGGCTGCAATTTCTAATCTCAAGCCAGACAAGCCTCCTCTTCCACACCCCATCCTGCGATGCTAGGAGTATTTGAGTGTGTTTTTGTTTTTAAAGTTTAATTACCACATGTGAGAAGGAAGGAGAGGAACTGTAACTTTGGACTGAATCTTTTCAATCAGATGTCACTGAAGCAGGCGTGCTGTTGAGGAGGGAAGCCGGGGGGGGGGGGGGGGGGGGCGGGAGACAGACACACACTCAGGGCGTGTGCCTCAGGGAGCGGATGTCTCACAGCACAAATTACACGGGAAGGAAGTCAGAGCGAGCAGCTCTGCTGGAGCTGTGGGAACGCTGAAAGAATATTTCTTCTCTTCTTCAAAGATGCAATTCCCTGTTTTCGCTTGCTTGTGAACATTTAGTGAACAGGTGACAGAGGGAAACGGAACCACGGAGTCCAGGCTTCCCGCCCCAGGCCACCCACCAGAGCTTCCCGCCGGGGGAATCCTGGTTTTCCCTAACGATTACAAGAACACCCAGGGCTGGGTAGCCCTTACCTAGTTACGAATTATATACTTTCACACGTCGTATTTCAGTCCTCATAACATCCTGTGAACCAGCTCAGTGATTCCCAGACCTGGATTGCACAGACTAGTACAACAACAGCAGAATAGGGTGGCCGGCCTAGGGCGGCCAACTTCTTATCTTGCCGAGCAAGGACGTAAAAACGAGAAACACATTAAATCACTAACTATGACTACAGTCTGTTTTCACCATCGCTTCATAAAAGAACTTTAGTACCACAAAACTAGAAATAATATAATTTCAGAATGAAAGGCAGGCTTTTCAATCTAACACACTTAACGAGGCGGAAAGCTGCTTGCTCCCTCGTTCTCACCTCTCTGTCACAGGCTGCTGAGAAATGCACTGGGACCAGCACTGACCACTCCACAGGTGGGTGCTGGAGAACGAGTGAACTAGGCATTAGTTGCTCCAGGGAGGGAGACAGACCAGGAGGGAAAAGAAGCCTCCTATGCCGGCTCAGCCCGTGAGGCCAGAGGGGGGTGGGGGGAGTGGGCCATGGCTTTCCAGCCACAAGCCCAGGGCAGATGTCTCCTGGCTTGGAAGAGGCAGACCAACACCTCCGCATCCGTATTAACAAGCTCCCCAGAGGGTTAGAGGCCACTTACCACACCGCCGCGCCGGTCAGTAAGGGACTGTGGCCTTGCCTCCATTGATGCTTCTAGAGCATTCTCTTAGCCAGTAGCTCCTGTGAGAGACAACAGGAACCTACCCCGAGGCGGAGTTTTGCAGTCCTTAGCCAGACCCCTTCCTGGGATCCAAGCGCCCCAGCATTTAAAATGCTGAGCACGAATCCTCCCCTGCCCCAGGGCACTCTATAGTGATTACCTGCACTGCCATGGCAGAGGCTGAGTGAGAAAGTGCCAAACTGTTTCATACCCATCAAACACTCGCCCCTGGATTCCTGGGGGCCTGCTCACTCATTCCTGGGGGCCTGCTCACTCATTCTCACTCATTTGTCGGGTTGAGGAAAGACCTCAACCCGACAAATTGTAGGTGGATTTCGGATATAATATCTCTGAGCCCCCCTCACCCCCATTCCCACATTCCTTTCCTTTCCACGCTCTGCCAACTCCAAGAGGGTTTTCGGAATTGAACTCTCAGTGCAGCCATTCCAACCCAAGACCCCACCTTGGCGGCAATCTTTTCTCTTTTGGAGAAGCCAGGAATGGCCCTTCGATTAGGCTGGGAAAGAAGTGGCGGGGGGGGGGGGGGGGGGGGGAGATGGGGGGAAGAGGAGGGGGATGGGAAGGCTACAAACTAATATCATCCAAAGCAAACTTGCCGATGAGAGGAGGGTCCCCTGGAGAGATGCGCGCCCTCCTTCTCCCTTGGTGCCCAGCAGCAAATGGCAACTTGGGCCGAGCTCCTTTGGCGCCTAAAAGCCTGCCTCCCACTCCCCTCCCCAGCCCTGTGCGCTGCACCACTGAGCAGATGTGACTGGATCGGCCCTGATGGGTAGGGTTTACTGTCTAGCAAGGCTTTAAGCTCCCAGCCAGACAGCTTTGATGAAGGGAGGCATGTTTGGAAGACAATAGGAGAGAGAGAATGGGAAAGCTTTGCTGGGCTCAGAGAGGAGGAAGGCGGGAACGCTGACATGGGAAAGCTTCGAGGGGTTTCTGTAGCCTCAAAAAGTTTCTTACACACACACACACACACACACACACACACACACACACACACACATTTTTATTAGTTTCAGAGAGGAAGGGAGAGGGAGAGAGAGAAACATCAATGATGAGAGAGAATCATCCATCAGCTGCCTCCTGCACATCCCACACTGGGAATCGAGCCTGCATCCCGGGCATGGGCCTTGACAGGAATCAAACAGTGACCTCCTGGTTCATGGTCGGCGCTCAGTCCCTGAGCCACGCTGGCCGGGCGTGCTCCCAACATTTCTCTTAGGGGCAGGCAGACCCTGACGGCAGGGTCCTCTGGCTTCTTTCTCTCCAGGGGCACGAGTCCCGGGTGTTTTCTCAGTGTCTCACATCAGCTTAGAGGGTCTGAGGGATGGAGGCCTGGTGAGAGGTCACCTGTGTGCACCCCTCTGCTCTGAGCCAGGCTGTGCCAGAGCCGCCCGGAGGCACTGTTTTTTCACGGACGGTATTTCACCCTCCTCTGGCCGTTTGCTCTCGTGTCTCAGAGCTTTCAGTACGGCAGACTCCCTGTTTGCAAAGGAGCCTTGGTACTCAAAGGATTCTGGCAGCATCCATCAAGGTGATGACATTTCCCACCTTGTTTCGCTGACAAATACTTAAATTAAAAAAAAAAAAAAGATTTAGGAAGGAAAGGAGAAGGGGAGGGAGAGGGAGAGACTCCTGCCTCCTGTATGGGAACCTACCACCTTTTGGATGACGCTCCAGTCCACGGAGCCACAGCCACCGGGGCTCCGGTATCTCTGAGAAGCTGCAGAATCAGGGGGATTCTTCACCGTCAGGTATTAGTTCTAGACGTTAGCGCCTCCGTCTGTGAAATGGGGTGCACGAGGTTTTGCTCACCAAGAGATTCCCGGATGACGCCCCGCATCGGTGTGATTTCATGAGGAGGGATGCTCAATTCCTGAGTCACCCCGGCCAGGTGGGAAATGTAATTTTTGTTTCTTGTTTATCCTTTGCTTGCACCTTTTTTTTAAAAAATATATTTTTATTGATTTTTTTTACAGAGAGGAAGGGAGAGAGCTAGAGAGCTAGAAACGTCGATGAGAGAGAAACATCGACCAGCTGCCTCTTGCACACTCCCTACTGGGGATGTGCCCGCAACCAAGGCACATGCCCTTGACCGGAATCGAACCCGAGACCTTTCAGTCCGCAGACCGACGCTCTACCACTGAGCCAAACCGGTTTCGGCTACTTGCACCTTCTTAAAACCCCAACAACACCAGCCCCTGAGACACCTGCCAGCATTCGTTGTGCAGCTTGCCCTTCCTGCTCACCACAGGCTTCTGCTGAGACTGTGCCTGGCACTGTGCCGGGAGCAGAGATGGAGAAGGCACGGGCCGTGGTGGTGGTGGTGGCAGGCCCGGGGAGTGTGCAGAAGCTTCTGTACGCGTGCTCAGGGGAGGGGGACGGTGGGGAGTCTGGTCTCCCAGCCCGA